CTCCCCCGCTGCATGCCTGGGGGGGGGGCCACTCCCGTGCCGCTTGGCCGGGGGCGGGGCCATGGTTACTCGGCGGGGGCACATAAATGCCCTGGTAGGTGCCGTGGCGCCCATGGGCACCGCATTGGGGACCACTGATTTAAATAGTGTGCTGTATCATAGGTTGTGACATCAGCACCCCAGAAAGCTACATTTTATAGGCATCAAATATTTTAAAAGGACAGTCATTGTTTAACATATTGAGATGATGCATGCCAACTCTCAGAGTAACATTTTGGTCCCATTAGTAGCCAGTGGGAGCTTTGCCATTGACTTCAACATAGCCAAGATTTCATCCTTAAGGCAGAAGACCATTTGGCTAATTATAAACCTTAGCAGCCAGACTACATCATGTAATTGATTTTGAAGTATATAGGAGTTTGGCTTAAAGTTTGATCAAAGAGTGTGACTTCAGGAGCTCATGATGGAAGCCTCATTTCAACCATCATTTTGCAAGCATCTAAGGAATGGGGAACATAAGGCCTGAAGGCCAGATGTGGCCCCTGGCTTGCCTGGATCCAGCCCCCGAAGCTTGGAGCTCCCTCTCAACATCAGGGAGCCTGCGCTAGTGCTCTAGCTCCCTGCCATCCTTCTGTGGGGCCGGAGCACACAAAATCTACTAGCCTGGACCGCCAAGGCTTTGATGGGGGCGAAGGGGCGCCGGCACTCGGGGCACAGCCCACGCCGCTGCCCCCGGGGGACGCAGGGCTCCAGGCAGGCGGCGCAGAAGCTGTGCCCGCACTCCAGCATGTGGGGCTCCCGGAACAGGGAGAGGCAGATGGGGCACAGCAGGTCCTCGGTGAAACCGGAGACTTCCCTGACCGACGCCATCCCAGGACGGCGCCACCCCTGGTCCCCCTGGACCCTGCTCCCCAGGGCTGGGTCGCTGCCGGGCCGGGATGTCCCTTCTCCCTCGCACGGGGATGCTGCCGGACCGGGACGTCCCTTCTCCCTCGCACGGGGATGCTGCCGGACCGGGACGTCCCTTCTCCCTCGCACGGGGATGCTGCCGGACCGGGGCGTCCCTGCTTCCCGGCTGGGCCGGCCT